TTCTAAAGCGAAGGTTGCTCTCCAACTGCGGAACCCACTCACACATGGTGTCGATAGTGGGTCCCAGCCTTTCCAATTTCAAGAAACCCTCAGTCGCGCATGAGCGCCAGTCCTCCCAACTGTCGAAAACCTTTGCTGACACCATCTACGTACTGGACAACAATCTTCCCAACCGTGAGAAGCCTTTGCTCTTGCACAGCTCCTCCGATGGAAACTTAAAAAGGTTCTCCACCAGCTCCTGGCTCTGTGTTGCAGTTTTGTTTGACTCACACATATATCTCACTCTCCTATGTCTCTCCTCCTAGCTGGGAGAGTAATTGCACATATGACACAGTGTGCAAGAGATTTCAGCCCACTCTAAAGTCAGTTCAAATCTTTTTCTACATCTCACAGACTAAAGTAAATCCACAGTCCATGTGAATGCTTATAATATTTTCGGAATTTCAATGGTTCAATTATAGTTCATGTCACTGAATGTGTCAATTTTAAGGGAGAAATCTGCCAGGGATATCAGCCTTTGTTGAGTGTAACATGGACAGGGGAGAGTCTAACATCCTATTTCCCTGAAGAAATGAATTTACCAACCATAAGGTTTTGAGGAATGTGACCTCCAGCATTGACAAAAGAAACCTGGGTTTTTTTTTCTTCCTGTCAGTGGCACTTCTGTCATTTTTACAACCTATCATGTTAAACCATGAAGCAAATACTCAGGGAATATTGAGAAGTTAATTAATCCCTTCCAAGCAGGCTCACTGGCTGAGAAGTCTGTAGACCTCAAGAGCACCAGCTACGTAGATATGTTAATGTTAAGGAGGATAAGTTGTAAGCCCCAAAGTTAGTGCAGTCCACCAGCACCGAGCAAGACTGCTAATCTTACCACCAACATATTCTGAGCTACAACCAGCACCTCATGGTACAGTATTAACAAAAGCTGCAAATGAGTCCAGAATGCACTGAATGTTCCCCCCAAATGACGGCAGCATTTTACAGCAGACTATTCACTGCAGAGCACCTATCTATCGTTATGTACTCACTTGTTTGCTGGGCTCCTGGGTACCTGTTCACAGTCGTGCCTATGGTGCTGTAAGCATTCTCATCTGGATCGTCGAGTCCAGCGTAAAAAGCTTCCGCGTCATAGTCGAAGTTGCGTTGGAACTCAGCCGAGCTCAAGAGCACTGGGCAGTAAGTCTACAAAAGTGTGTTAATGTGGCCTACACATATAAAAAAGAGAAAGCTGCCCCCTGTTCACAGGAAGTTGGACAAGAATGTGTAGGGTGAAGGCGTTTAGAAGTGTGAATCTAGGAACATGTTTCACGATCATGGGTACAGTACATGTTGGCGTGTGTGAACAGTATGTAGTAAGCACGTTTGGGTGAGTAAAATCATGTCATGACAAAGTCTGGTATCGAGAATGAGAACTAACAATTGTTTCAAGGGCACGTTTCCAGCTCAGTACCCAGAGCATATTCCTACGGTTTTCTTCTGTCCTCTCTTATCAGGATGAGAATCGGGATGTCTGGCCTCCAGAAGAAATAAATGGAAACTGTGGAGTGGTATTCACATGTGACAATCCCAGCAAGTACAAAAATCAGTACGTTTCTGGGAAACCTGCTGTGTGCAATTCATTTCAGTTTTTAGAAAGGTGTGTAAAGGTTCCAGAATTAGCCAATAAAAACCTCACACCTAAAAAAGCCTTTGACCATCATAAGCAGTTACCACAGGGTTTCCTTATCCAATATAATCAAGTCCTTCTTTCTTCCCAGTTTTGGAAATGCAGGCCACAATATCCTTTGCAGTGGAAATTCCTAAAGCCGCAATTCAAGGGCTAAGATGGAAAAAATAGGGGCGCCCTCCTGTGGCTCAAAGTGGAAATAACCAGCCATCTACCCACAATGATATTGGTTGCGTTTTATACAGTTACAATTGAATCAGGCATAGGACATGGTGCATTCTGTTAAAGGATTGATAATAAATACTAAAACATTAGCTTAGTAATTTGATCCAAACATGATTACAATTTTCAATTAAACTTTTTCATAGTATAGTTTTGCTTTCCCTTTCTGTCATGACAGAATTGGGTAATTCGCAAGCTTGGAATTGGGCATGGAATACATTGGACTACATGAATGATTAAGACGTGAATTCATTGGAAAGTTACAAATAGTTTCAAAACAGCCATGACCCCCCTACTGTAAGCTACAGAGCACCGTGTACATTTGAACTATTTAATGACAAAAAAAAACATTATACAGCACCTATACTGCTACCATTATTGAAATGAATTGAACCTGAAGTGCAATACCAGAAGTATTTGTGCCTGAACCAGCAGTCGGTTCCACAAAGCTATGATAATCAATTGATGACTGAAAACACAGGCAGATTTCAGGACAAAATGAATTGGCGAACGCCAGTATGTGTCTATGCAGACAGTACTGCAGTGATTTCACACATAGCAAGAGACTCAGGGCTTCAGCCTCACAGATGCAGGGCAATTTCTCACCGCAGTCACAGTCATTCCAGTTATTGGGGGTATGGACATCTTCAGCAGCCACACAGTACTGGTTAGCATAAGCACTGTTAGGCTGGCCAGTTTTCCCAGTAAGCATACCTGAAACAGAGCATCATGACTTCATCATAAACACAGCCAGTCAGCTTGAGAGAAAACACTCTTGAACTCCATCTATCTCACTATCTCACTCCTGCTCCTGGATGAGCTCGTACTGACTGAACTGAACCGGTTATGACTTCTTTGGCCTCAATTCCATTGAGTCTTTACTCAATGAGGAGTTTGAGCTCTCTGTACGATTGCCAGGATGGAGGCTTTCCAGGCCATCAATTAGAAACAATAGTCTTGGAGGAATCAGTGAATGATTCCCTCGATTTAAGATCCAACTAAATTGAGTCCATTAAGAGTTTGAGCTCTCTGTATAATCCACAGGATTGCAGGTCTCCAGCAAGATCAGCAATGAGGAAAGAAAAAAAAAACTTGTGATCTGTGGTTTGTTCGGTGTATTCAAGAGAAATCTGATCTCAAATTCCTATGAATCTCTTTTGTTTTTAGTTTCCTTTCTCTTCGTTTCTATATTTCTTGTATTTTAAGACATGTATCACATACTCAGATCTTTCAACTAACTCGCCTAAACTCTGCAACCGTCCCTTCTCAAATTCCTAGGAAAATACAGATCATCTGTGTACGTCTGGAATTCCCACGTGAGTTATTCACATACCAGAACACGCACGTGGAAATTCCTCCTGCCGCAATCACAGGGTTGCGATTAAAAAAACAATTACGGCCGCCCTCTAGTGGCGTTAAGTGGAAGTACCGGCCAAAATTGTGTTACTTCAATAGGGTGCAATTCATTCTGTTTTTGTTCCTGTTTCATCAGGGGAATGAAATGTGCTCCCCTTCTAAAACAAAAGTCTTAAAAAGTCCTGCCTTGAGGCCTAGGGCCCGGGATAGATTCTGGGTTTATAAGTTTTCTTTCAGGATTACACAGCTTCCTCGTCTTGGACAGTTAACTACCTGGCAAACCAAGTGTGTAGTCCTCCACAGGGGAAGAATGACACGCACCTGCTGTAATTGTCCTGATGATGGCAGAGACACCCCACTGATGTCACTGCAGTCCTTCGGGGTGCTGGCACGTCTCAGGAGTCTCTGTGGGTGCCTCCTGTTAACCTGCTCAATATTTGTGTGCGTCAGCAGTGAAACTGCATGTTGATTGGTGGAGGGCTGAGCAGGAATAACGGTTACTCAGGGTCACAGGTCATAGTGAAAGTAGTAGCTAAGGGGTTCGGAGTTACAGATGAAATAAAGAGCTTGTTCAAGTGTCACATCGTCGTCCTGGGTTGTTAATTTCTACACTATACGTGTACGAGAAACAAGACCGCGTCTGCTCTCTTATCGCCCCCCCGTCACAGCTGTCTGGTGATGTACCAGGGGCTCCCTGCTACAGGTGATCAACCTGCTTTCTGCTATAAGCCTCAATGCTGCAGCTCCTGTATTCCAGTCTCAAGTGTTAATCACCTCAATCAAGGCCACTCACACTTAAGAGCACTTTCAACAGGCGAAGAACTGAAGACTGCACTGCCCCCTCGCCCTTTGCTCAGTGGGCTTTCATTAACCAAGTGCCAGCTTCTGCTTCTGTCCACATCTCTCAGTCCAATCCAGACAGGAGACCCTGAATTTCTCACTTTGCTCCAGATGAACAAGCCTCCACATCTGAAACGTTGTGTTTCTTTTCTTTCTTCAGTGCGGAATTAACCTTTACTTGTTCCTTTGCATCTTTTGAGGAGTCTGATTTTCTCCATTACATTAGCACAGAAAGCAACCATGGGAACAACATTTAGCCGATAACCAGTGTCGGGGAGATGCCTGTTTTCAGCTGCTGAAAACCCCAAAATGGATCATAGTTCAGATGAATGGCTTAAACAAGCATTCGACAAGAAACCTTTAGATAAAAATGGCTTTATTACAGTAATCTGTGCGCATTAAAAACAAATGTCAGAAAGGGGAAAGCTTTCTACTGCCGCAGTGCCTGGTACATGGTCTGCAACTCTCCAATTACATCATTCAGGACTGGACTCAAACAAAATCCAGCAGACTATTTTTTTTGCTGTTTTTTTTAATTTTCCATTTTTATTATCTCAGGTCCAAAAAAAAACATCAGAAGCATTAACAATAATAATAATAATAATAATAAGGAACATAAACATAAAAAAAAATACAATTAAGAAAAAATAAAATTATTTTTCTTTCCCCGATCAGCCAATAGAAACGCTCCTCTTGGAAATGAGGGGCGTGGTCTTGCGGGGCTGGTGGGGGCGTGGCGTTTTCATCCAGGAGCCAATCAGGAATGTAGAAGGGGGGGTCCAGGGGGTGGCGGCTGGAGCTCCAAAGCCAAGCCAGAGCAGGAGAGAAACACTACTGCTGAGCTACCTGCGAGTGAACAGAGACAGGGAGGCAAAGTTAAAGCCGTGCACACAGTGTAACTAGTACTTTTACACTGTATGAACTACACCCTCGTCTACAGGGTGCAAAACAAGTACAGATCAGGGGTGTACTCCATGAGGAGAGAGCTATATGTGTGAGAAAGCACTTTGTAGAAGCCTCACAAGTTTTTTCTTGTATCTCTTCCCTGCAATATTAGATGTGAATTGTACTAGAATCGGATTATAATTTAGGCCCACGAGACATGCTGAAAGCACCAAATCCATCCATTAGTTTGTGTAGAATCCCTCATACAGTTCTTGGGCTGCTTTTAACATCACTTTATTAGTCACATACAATTTCTTGCATTAGGAATTTGTCTTTTTGCATACCCCAGCTTGCTCTCCATGAGACACACAGACAGGGAGAGAAACTGGGGGGCAGAGCGCAGGGTCAGCTATTGTACAGTGCCCCTGGAGCAGCTGGGGTGAAGGGCCTTGCTCAGGGGCCCAACGGAGTAGGATTCCTCTGCCGGCTGTGGGATTTGAACCGGCAACCCTCCAGCCACAGGAGCAGATCTTGAGCCACTGGAGTAACAGTATGGAACGAGCAGCTTCCTGAAGCAGCCAATCAACATACCCAGAATGTTTGGGGATGACAAATACATAAAACTCACGTGATCTCAGAGAAACGGTGCAAACTCCACACATGCTACCAGTGTAGTAAGCATATACAATATGTACAGTATGCAGACAATGTATCTAACTATATAAAGAGTGAATAATACACAGAGAGCACACTATAAATGCTCTGTACACACTGTATATGAGGCATCTTAAACAACTCCCAGAGGGCCTAGAATCTACGGCTTTTATTCCAACCTGACCAGTCAGATTAGATATTAATCTCTTTTACTAGACATATTAAAACAATTTTTTACATGATTTTCTTGAGCTCTTTTAAAGCTGATTACTCATCGTTAAACAGATACAGTTGCCTATAAAAACGACTCAAGAGCATTTCAAATTTGCAATTAAATAACTAGAGCAGCGTCGTACCAGAGTTCAGGTGGAACACAAACCTTGATATACAGGGCCCTGAAGTACAGTGAAAAGGCAGACAGTACACACCACCACTGCTTACCTGCTGCGTCTGTGTCTCTGTGCCTCTGCTGGCCAATCGGCTCAGGATATTCCTCTCTGACATCTGCAGTCTCACGGCAACCGGGGGTATCCGGGCGATGGTTGCCGGGAGACGAGTGACATCAGCCTTCATGTCGCTGAGCAACTCCTCCAACTGTTTCAACACTGCGAGGAAGAGGGGGGGGAACGGTCGTTAACGCAGAGGGAACGGCAGAACGCGGCCAGGCATGAGTGAGGAGACCCTCACTACACACCCATCTCTTACACCCCAGCTCTTGCGCAGCACAGTGTCAGCTGAACCAGCAGACAATTTTAGTCCAGCGTGTTTTGTAGTCAGTCTTTAAAATGAGCAATTTCTAAAGGCCTGGAACAATTACACACC